CCAGAAGCCAGGCCGCATGCTTCCATCCACAGGCAATGTACAGAATGGACAAATCCATAGGAGCAGAACATACATTAAAGGATGCCAGGGGCTACACAGACGGGACAAGGGAGTGACTGCAGATTGGCACTTGGCTTCTTCCTGGAACCATGGAACTTTTGTTGGACTAGACAGTAGTGAGGGTTGTGCAATCTTGTGGAGGCATAAAAAGCACTCATTTGTACACTTTAACATGGCAAGTCTTATGATAGGTCAGAGTTCAATAACAACAGAAGCAGATAAAACCAGTTAATAAGAAACTGGTTTGTCTAGTGCTTGGGAGGCTGAGGCAGGCAAATTTGAAATCAGACTGGGATTCATAGCAAGACCTTGTCCAAAGAGGGGGAGACCTGACTGGAGAATTAGAAAACCTGGATAAAAGGAACTGAGACGAATGGGCTGGCTGGGTGGGTTGGGTGGTGGCGATGCAGGGACTCAGAAGGTAAAGTGCTTGCCCCACCCAGAGAAGGTGAGGACATGGAGAAAGCTGGCTCACCAGACTGGGTCTAATGAGAGAACCTGCTTCACCACAGAAAGTGGACAATCTAGGGAGACATCTGATGTCAGCCTCTGGCCTTCCCTTGCCCAGTTGTGCACATACATGTGTGCCTGTAAATGTGTGAACATGCATTCACATGCACACCACACACCACATAAGAAAGAAAAAAAAGAAGAAAAAAATTGAGTCAACTAAAAACAAATCTTCCAAATAAGAAAGCTCAAGGCTCAACTCTACCAAATATTCAAGTGAGAGATAGTGCTCACTCTAAATACATATAAACTTAAAAAATGTGTAGAGCTGGAGAGACGGCTCAGCAAATAAGAGGACTGACTGCTTTTCCAGAGGACCTGGGTTCAATTCCCAGCACCTACATGGTGGCTCACAACTGTAACTGCAGACCTAGGTGACCCAATGCCATCTTCTGGCCTCTGTAAGCAATGCATGCATTTGATATACAGACATGTGTTTGGACAGAACATCCTTACACCCCTTACATTAAAAAAAAAAAAAAAGGTTAATTTTAAAAATTGATCATTTGTATATATGTGAATACACCCCTTACATTAAAAAAAGGTTAATTTTAAAAATTGATCATTTGTGTATGTGTGTGTGTGTGTGTGTGTGTGTGTGTGTGTATGCGTGCGTGTGTGCATGTGCATGATGTGGGGGTGGTGCTGTACAAATATGAGTGTCATGGTGTAGGTGTGGAGGTCAGGGGACAATCTATAGAGTCGTTTTCTCCTTCTACCTTTACATGGGTTATGAGGATCAAACTCAGGTTATGCAAAAGACACCTTTACTCACGGAGCCATTTTGCCAGCACCCTGAACATATTTCTATCGACTATGCAAATATATTGGACGAAGTAAACGTGATGTTTTGGGCAAAGATGAGTTTTAAGGGAATTGAGATAGTAACAAAATCTGACACTATATAATTAAAGTTGGGCTGTGAAGGACAAATAATGTCATACAGTGATAAAAGAAACAATAAATTAGGAACCCAGTATATAAGGGCTGAGGATGTGGCTCAGTGGTAGAGTGCTTACTCAGCATGAATGAGGTTCTGGGTTCATTACTCATTACTGCAAAAAGAACTATCGATACATATGTGTGTGTTATATATATATATGTGTGTGTATATATATATATATATATATATACACACACACACATGCCTGGTGTTTCCAAATACATGAAGCAGTAATCTGTAATTATATTCATCCTATAGTATAAGTGTATTAATAATAGATATTAGGGAATACATTAAATATACAGATAAATAAATGTCCAAACAAAATGTATCAAATACAGCACACTACCCTTTGCATTAGAAAAAAATCAAATTTTAAAAATAAAAGATATATATTGTTTGACTTCTATAAATAATACCATTATCTAAGTGAGTATATAAACAAATACAGAACCATACTTTTTTTAAACACCCAGGAAGATCCTCTAAAATTTGTCACAAACTGGTCATAGGAAGTCAGTGGATTACAAAGACTCTACCTAGTATGCACAGACATCTTCAGCTTATACTGAGATGAAATTTGAAGTTAGCAGAAGCCTGAGGAGGGGTGATTGGGAATGCTGCTCAGAGGCAAAGTGCCACGTGCCATATTCTCCTCTCTCTTTGATTCTCTAGCCCTAAGAAACAAAAAGAAAGAAAACAAAAGGATCATAAAGGACAATACCAGTAAAAAATATTGACCAAAGAAGAAACGAGGAAAACATAAGGGAAATTATGATAGCCTTCTGTTGAGCTATCAAAATGTCAAATGTCAAAATATTGGCATTAGGGATGACACAGCAGCTAACAGCATTGGCCACTAAGCTTGACAACCTAAGTTTGATCCCCAAAACTCACTCCCAGGAGTTGTCCTCTGATCTCCACAGGTGTATGGGGGCATGCAATGCATTCATACATCTATTTAAACCATGACATGACATGGTTCTAAAGTATGGTCACAGGGTTTTACAGCTATTGCCAGAGTCATATTTAGAATACTCTGATCACCCTGAAAAGAAGCCATATTTCCTTGGAGCCAACACCACACAGGCAGGCATTTTGTGTTTCCCCTTGTCTCGGCTCTTGGCAACCATGAAGCCTTCTGTCTCAATATTTGTCTATCATGGACATCTCATGCACATGATCCATTATGTGATCATTGTTGTTTTTGTTACTTAGTTGGACTTTTTAGGGAAGCTTTTAGAAGATTAATGTAGCTTGGGAACCCAAGGCCTTCCTCATCAACATCAGTGAGCCAGAATGAGAAAGAAACCAAGATACAGCTCAAAGTAGCAAAGGGATCTACAGAGTCTGATTTTATCTATATAAAAAAAGATGAACTATTAAGGGATATAAAGGATGGGAATAAACACACGAATCATGATCTTAAAAAGAATAATCTGATTTTATAAAAATACCAATCCTCCATCCACTCACAGATCATCTCAAACTTAAGACAGTTCCACACAGCCCTCCAGTCCAGTTCTGTGAGGGAACTTCAGACATGATTACTATATGTTGCACAGAAGAATCAAGTCTGGAGAATCGGTGAGATAGTTTTGCCTTTCTAGATAATTAAGGCACACTTGAAAGCTGAGTAATTAGAATAACATGGTCCTAGCTTACAAAAAAACAAACCAAAAAAAAATCTAGAAATAGACCCAGGTTCATGAAGGAACCAATGAACTGGAACGGAGTTATCATAAATTACCAGAGAAAGCATGAGTTGTCTCATAAATTATGTTGAGAAAAATTGAGTCAACGTAAGGAGAGCTGGGTGTGGTGGCTTGTACCTCTGATCCCAGCATTCTGCAGGCAGAAGCAGGGGGATCTCTGTGAATTCCAGGCCAGCTGGGTCTACACAGGGAGTTTCAGGTCAGCCAGGGATACATAGTGAGACCCTTGTCTTACAAAACAAAGCAAAAGGAAACCCAAACAAATCAATATAAGTAGAAAAATACAATTGATTTCTCACCTCACATAAGATAATGAGTAAATTCCCAGTGTGTCAAAGCTCTCAGTGCACTATCAATATAGCACTACAACGTTAATAAGTTTTAAAAAAATGAGAAATGGCTTGTGTTGATGGGGAGTAGAAAATGATCCCCTGAGACCCTGAAAATCACAATCCAAAAGCAGAGAAATTCTTAGCTTAACCTCATCCAAGTTAAATATTTGGGTCTAAAAAAAAAAAAGAATCATAGCAAAAACAAACAAATAAAAAAAAACACAAGATTGTTGGGAGGGTGGTAGGAAAAATAGGAACATCTGAGACCAGCAGTCATGAAATACATAAAATAGATACAACCTTCCACGCCAACAGTTGAGCAAAGTTTACAGAAGTCGACCCCACAGACGAGAGAACCCAAGCGCTTACTACAGATATGAAGGGATATTTGTGTCAGTCAGTGCTTAGGGAAATCCAAATTAAAATAATAATGAGATCATGTGGAGCTTGGATGTGGAGAAACTGGGCCAGTCAATCATACAGTACCCAGGGACTGGAAGCCAGTGTTGTTCAGAATAGTAATCTGTTCAGGCTTGGTGTAGTTAGAGGGGCAGTCTGGCTATGGGTTACAAAATGAAAATCTCCTCAATAAGCCCACAGGAAACGTGGCTAAAGCCAGTCATGTTTTTCACAATTGGAAAAAGTGAGCAGGTGGAGATGTGTCATTTACTTTTCTGTGATTTACTGGAAGCAGCTTAAGGGTGGGAAGATTCAGTAGCTCCATGGATTCAGCCTAGTGGGGTGGAGTAGGCGTGGTTGGTGAGTTCAACTCAAAGCATTAGAAGCCAGTGGCAGTGGCTGTTCACATCGCAATGCACCCAAACGTGGATGAAGGATGATTCTTCAAAGGCCTGTTCCTGGTAACCTCCTTCTGGCAGCTAGGCCTCACTTCCTTAAAGGTTCCATAGCCTCCCCAAACAGTATCACCAGACCAAGTGCTTCAAAACAAACAAACAAACCTACCAATTGAAAATTGAAATTCCAATTCAAGCCACAGCAGGAGGCAAGTTTTCTGTCCCAATCTTGGAGGATGTTTAAGCAAATGTATTTATATACACCTTATCTCTCAGCACAAATTCAGGTGTCTCTAAGGGGCTCATGATGAGTAAAGACATATCTACTACTACAGTTCTAAAACTCTAGAGCAGTGGTTCTTGACCTTCCTGATGCTACAACGTTTTAATATGGTTCCTCCTGTGTTCCCCCTAACCATAAACTTATTTTCATTGCGACTTCATAACCGTAATTTTGCTGCTGTATGAATTGTGATGTAAATATCTCTGTGTTCTGATGGTCTTTGACGACCCCTTGTGAAAGAGTTGTTCAACCTCCACTAGTAGTGATGATAAAAACAAAAAAATAAGCAGTGCACGCTTTAGAATTCTCATTGTAAGGATTGTTACTGGATTTCTCTGACCGTCATTTGTCTTCACTGCCCAGGCTACCCTTTCCCCACCGCTCCTCCTGTGGACCCATTTGCCAAAATCAAGGTGGAAGACTGTGGAAGAACTAAGGGATGCTTCAGGTAGGTAGAGGTGGGAGTCTGACCATTTAGGCTCAGAAATGTACTGAATTTCTCCAGGTAGGATTCAAACCTGAAGGCATCGCTATGTGAACATGAGGGTCTGTCCCCTCTTTTAACTTCAGCAAGGTTATAGAAAACTCAAATAAGAAAATCCGGTGCTCAGAGGCTTTGTTTGCTGATACAGGTCTTGCTGTCCTTGAATTCTGGGGAATCTCACCAATTCTCTGTAATGCTGGCATTACAAGTGTGTACCACCATGCTTGGTTAGTGTTCAGTTTGGGCGTGTTCTTTTTTTTTTTTTTTAAAGATAGTGTCCTAGTCACTTTCTATGGCTGTGATAAAGACATAACCAAGAAGGTTTATATCCCAATCTACCTCTGAGAGAAGCCAAGGCAGAAACTCAAGCAAGGAAGGAATATGGAGGCAGGGGCTGAAGTAGAGGCCATGGAGGAACACTGCCTGCAGGCTTGCTCTTACGGCTTGTTCAGCTTGCTTGCTTATACTACCTAGAGTACCTGGCCAGGGCTGATACCACCCATAGTGAGACCCTCCTACATCAGTGAACATGATGTACATAATCAAGAAAATGCCCTACTGACTTGCTTCTAGGCAATCTGATGAAGGCATTTTCTCAGTTGAGGTTTCTCCTCCTCCATGACGCTAGCTTGTGTCAAACCAACAAAAATATAACCAGACAGGCAGGTTCTCCTATAGCCCAGCCAGCCCTTAAATTTGTTATGCAAACAAGGTTAACCTTACATTTCTAATCCTCCTGCTTTCCCCTCCCATGCTCTGGGATGAACGGTGTACGCCTAGCCTATGCAGTGCTGAGGATTGAACTCAGGGCTTAGTGCATGCTGGGGAAGCATTCCACCAACTGATGTACATTCCCAGCCCCAACGATTCCTTTCCAAATAAATAGTCATGACTTGTGGATTGTGCGTGACGCTAAGCATTGGTGATCATAGCTTATTAGTTTGAGCGAGTCCCTATGTGATTCTTGGTAGCATTCCATCAAGACATGACGGGCTCCAAATGAGCATGCTGGCATGTGCCTGTAATCTTAGCACTCGGGTGGCTGAGGCAAGAGGCTCAAAAGTTTTAGGCCAACCTGGGCTACGTAATGAAAAGACCTGTATCAGAGAAAAGAAGACAGGTGGAAGGAGGGAGAGATGGGGATGGTCATGGAGAAAATAAAAATGAATGAATGCGAATTGGCTTGGTAGGCAGCAGTAGAAACTTCTCAAACAGAGGTTTTGACGGAGACGGCCCTAACGTGCTAACCTTGCTGCTGCTCAGGTCTTGATTTATGGAGCCAAGCATTGACTCCAGAGTCTTGAGCTTTATTGGCTTACAAGGCCTTTGTGAAGACCTGTAAAAAAGTTCCAATACAATTATCATTGAGCAAAATGGCCGGCAGTGTCTGATGCCGGTGGAAGTGCTTGAGAAGGAGTTGTGCTAGCCTTCCGGCTCAGTGAGGCCTGGCCTTCTACACTGGTCTCCGCTCTTCTGCCCCTCCCTCATTCATTCATGGTTCACCCCAGCTCCAGGTGGCCTGCACCACATGTCTTTTTCCTGTTACTTGAGGTATCCCTGCTAACCCATGAGTATGCTCTTGTCTCCTTCCTCGTTCACCCTTCAGCACCCTGGGTCTTGTTCTTGCAGACATCTGCCATCTATGCTTTTTTAAAAATTTTTATTGGATATTTTATTTACATTTCAGATGTAATCCCCTTCCCCCCCCAACCATCTATGCTTTTATCCTTTCACCCATTGAAAGAATTCCATTCCTTCCTCTTCCCTCTCCTTCCCTCCCCTCCCCTCCTCTTCTCTTTCCCTTCCTCTTTTCTTCCCTCCCCCTTTTATCCCCTCCCCTCCCCTCCCTTTCCTCCCCTTTCCTCTTCTTTCCTTCCCTTTCCTCCTCTTCCCATCTTCTCCCCTCCATTAACCTTCTCTTCCCTTTCTTTCCCTTCCTTCCCTTCCCCTCCCTCCCCTTCTCTCCACTTCATTTCCCTTCCTTCCCCTCCCATTCTCTCCCCTCCATTTCCCTTCCCTTCCCTTTCCCTCTCCCTCTCTTTTCTTCCCTGTTCTTTTGCGCTTAGGGTCATGTACATTACAAACACATGCTTAACCAGTGAGATACATTCCATTACAACACTGTGTACCATTCTGACAAGGGTTGAATACAGTGCTCCTTAACTAGAAGTTTCCAATTCCTGGTCCCCACTGGTACAGGATCCATAAGTCACTTGTAAGGGTTGTTGTTACATTTATTTATTTTGTGTGTGTACCTATATGTGTATGCATATGCACACACATATGTACATATGCACATGTAAGTGTGTGCACTTATGTCATGGCACTCTGTGGAGGTCAGAAGACAACTTTCTGGAGTCTTCTCTTTTTCTACCATGTAAGTTTCATGGAGCAAACTCGGGTCTCCGTGCTTGGTGACAGGGGTTCTTATCTATGGAGCTATCTCACTTGCTCCTTTATAAGAAATTTGAAATTTTTGTTTTCTCCTTACTGGTGCCCTTCAAAATGATGCATGTATTCATAATCTTACCATCTAGAGAATGACCTTATATGCTATGTTTTAGTGTCTGACTGTGACTCGGTTTACGGCAAGTAGATTTTATAAATAAATCATGTACTTTTGTTCATCAGATACTAGATGATGTTGTCACATATGAATTGTACAAGTGTGGCTTTTGCAGCAGACCAAGAGATTAACTTGCAGGAGTTGGGCCATCCTTCCTTGTTGGTAATAAAGATATGCTCAACTCAAAAAGCCCTACAGTACAGTCAGAGGCGCCACACGCACCACAGGCACCACTGCAGAGAAATCCTTTCAGGAAAAATCACACCCTTTATCATCACACAAATGCTGTGAATTTCAGGATTTCTGTTTTTACTTCTAAATCTGTGGTATTCTAACTATGAAAAATTATAAGGAAAAAATAGTCACTCTATATTTTAATTAAGAAAAACTTGACAAGTGTTTAACTTGAACAGATCCAGTTCAGAGCCTGTTGCAGGCTTATAAAGTGGAGCAGGTCCTATCCGTGGTCCCTGCTGAGGAACCAGTGTTTCCAAGATCCCAGGAAGCAACAATGGTTAACAGCATTGTTCAGTGCCCTTGGGTTGCACTCTGGATGCTCTCTCTTTGTGTTTGAATCACATAGAACTAACAATGTCTCTTTTGGCAAATCCTCCAGATATGGAAAACCAGGCTGTAATGCAGAAACCTGTGACTACTTCCTTAGCTACCGGATGATAGGTGCTGATGTGGAGTTTGAGCTGAGTGCAGACACGGATGGTTGGGTCGCGGTTGGATTCTCTTCAGACAAAAAGATGGTACGGTGTAAATCTTCATAGAAGCTGCTTTCTCTCTTTGCTTAGTTGTTGTCCTTTAGATTTCAGAAGCAAATGAGTTAATTGAAGAAGTAGAAGCATTGTATTAGTCACAGCTCTCTAATTGCAAGTTTAAAACATTCAAGAGGCCCAGGGCAGTGGTGTTTCATGCCTTTAATCCCAGCACTCGGGAGGCAGAGATGGGTGGAGCCCTGAAGAAAACAACAATGATAACAACAAAACAACAACATCAGAGGCTGGAGAGATGGCTGAGCAGGTAGGACCACATACTACTCTTGCAGAGGACCAGGGTTTGGTTCCCAGCACTCACATCAAATGGCTCACAGCTGCCTGAACTCCAGATCTAGGGGTTCTGATACCCTCTGGCCTCTGTGGGCTCATGCCAATGGTGTACGCAGTGCGTATAAACTCATGCATGAGCACACACATAAATAAGTAAATGGGTTTTTTTTAATTCAAACAAGCTTTAGTAGAAAGATTGGCTATTAGAATATAGGACATCCGTCTTGTGCTACGTGTAGTAATCAGCTCTGTCCACTTTATATGCTGCAAACTACATGTCTTGTGCCAGTTGTTGTGTCTCTTGCTTCCTTGTGTGTGCATCAGTTGGGGTTCAGCTTGTTTTTGGTGGGCATGTCTGGGCTTGGCTGTAGTCTATGGGTTGGGTTTGATTTCCTATGTGTGTATTAGTCAATCTGGAAGGGGCAGCTACCCAAGACTGTTTCTCTTCATGGCATATGTGACCAGATATCTGCTATTTCTCTCTCCTCTACCTCACTGCACACACACACACACACACACACACACACACACACACACACACTTATGACACTAATAGATTAACCCTCTGAAACTAAGCCAGTGGAACCAGCACCTGGACACATGAGTTGCCCATACTGCACAGGATGGAGGACTATTTTTCCATGGACTCCTGGGAAGCAAAGCCTGAAGTCCCTTAACTGTTACCACCTTGAGATATTGAGTGGCTGCCCAGGAGGCTCTAAGCTGTCTCTTACTCTGCTTTGGTTTTGTTGTTATTATTATTGTTGTTGTTGTTGGTGGTGGTGGTGGTGGTGGTATGTGTGTGTGTGTGTGTGTGTGTGTGTGGTGTGGGGCAGCTATGGGGCCCAAAGATGGAGCCAAAGATCAGCTTGCCATTCTTCTGGTGGCCAGGACCTGGGGGACTATGGTGAGGGGTGTTGTAGGCAGAGCCCAGACCCTATCAGGTGACTCATCCCAATAAAGGAGAAAGGAGGAAAGTAAGAAGCACATGGGTTCAAGACTAGCAGAGGCTACACAGTGAGATCCTGCTGGAAAATCAGGAAGGAAGGGAGGGATAGCAGGAGGGAGGGAAGGAAGGGAGGGTTGATCTGAGGGCTCAGATAACAGGCTGGCTGGGGAGCCTTTACAGCAGCACTGTAATATCTATGAAAGTAGAGGCCCCTCCTTTCCTCTTTCCTCTCTCCACTGAAGCATGCATTAAACTAAAAACAAAAACAAAAACCTGATGATGTATAGCAAGAGTGATGTGCGTTCCCTTTTTAATAACCTTGAATTTTTATGGCACAATTTTCAAATTAATTTCTTTTTAAATAGCATCTTTGGGTTCCTGTCTAAGTGGTATGCCTCACAGGCTCCAGGAACTGCCTCCCCCATCATCCCTATCCTCCACACGATGGTACAATCGGCTAATCTTTAATGTTTTTTAAATTGTTTTGAAAGAAAAATCAAACCTCCAGATAGACCACATAGATAGTTCCCCATACTTTCCTCCCGCACCCTTTCTCTCTATATATATATCTTGTGCCAGATGAGTCCCCTGATATCTGTTATAGTAGTGTTCACCTAAAATTTATCATTTCTGACCATTTTCCAGTGTATATTTCAGTGACATCAATCACAATCTCTACCATGAAATCATCGCACAGTTTTCTACTCCAGAACTAGGAAACTCAAATAACGTTTTGCTGTTCGTGTGTTACTCTCTACTGATGCTGTCTCTGCTGCTACTCTGTATGACTAACACTTTCTGGAAACTTCAATCCTACGTCACAGATATCATGATCCTTTAAACATTAACTATTTAAGAGAATTCTCCTAAAATCAAAGACCTTGTCTTTCATTATATGGTTTCCCTACCAAATTCAGAGAATTTAAGATCCATAAGATAGGACTGTCAACTATATTATTTCCAAATGTCATTAGTCAACACAATTCTGCCTAGGAACCCCATTGCATTTAGTGGTCATGTGACTTTAGCCTTCTCCACTTTGTATAGCTTCTGGGCCTTTTAAATTACCGAATGGATTAGTTAATTGCTTTGGGAAGTTTATCATGACTGAAGTTTTTGTTTGGCTTGGTTTGGCTTGGCTTGGTTTTTTGAGAGAGGCTTTCTCTGTGTAGCCTTGGCTGTCCTACAACCCATTCTGAAGACCAGGCTGGCCTCAAATGCAGAGATCCACCTGCCTCTGCCTCCCAAGTGCTGGGATTAAAGGCGTGCACCACCACTGCTCAGCCTTAGCTGAAGTTTTATTTTATTTTGTTAGAATGAGCTTCAAGTGGGATTTACCTGGCTGTGTTTGTCAGGCTACTTCATGTGGTTTTGTGCTGGAACCCATGGGTTGTGACACATCCCCCAAATGTCTTAGCAGGAAGGCCCTAAAATGTCAGCCATTGTGATGCTAATTTTGCTCAGTTGTTTAAGACTTTTTTAAAAGGATTTTTAAAATGTCGTGTGTTTAGTTGTTTATGTGGGAGGTCAGAGGACAACTTGCAAGAGTTGGTTCTCTCCTTCTACCTGGTGGATCCAAGGAATGGAACTTGGGTCATTCTGATTGGTAGCAAGACATTTCTAATTACAGAGGTTATGGGATATGTATTTCTAGTGAAAAGCTTGCAGAAGACAAACCTTTGTCTCTCCTCAACCTTTTTCTCTGCTAGGGTGGTGATGATGTCATGGCCTGTGTCCATGATGACAATGGCAGAGTCCGAATACAGCACTTCTATAATGTAGGCCAGTGGGCAAAGGAGGTTCAGAGAAATCCTGCCCGAGATGAAGAAGGAGTTTTCGAGAACAACCGTGTCACCTGCAGGTTTAAGCGCCCTGTGAATGTCCCCAGGGATGAAACAATTGTGGATCTGCACTTGAGTTGGTACTACCTGTTTGCCTGGGGTCCGGCCATTCAGGGTAAGCCTACATTTCAGCTTCTGCATTGAAGACCACGTGCAGTCCCACTGTGTGTGCATGAGAGCCACAAGAACTCCGAGTATTCTATAAGAAAAAGGGAATATGGGCCCTCCCTTCAGAAGGTTCTAAAGAACTTACACCTGACAAAGTGCACACATGCATAGCTAAAGCATATGACACAGATGACACAGCATAGGACAAGCATGCACATCATGAAGCAGTCATGTGTCTGCTGTGGCGGGCAGATATTTCTATTTGTTCCTCACCCCGTCCTGCAGAGTTCCTGATATCATTGTTCTCATAGAGTATAAGAAACTCGCTCGTAGTAGACAACTAATTAATAGTAGAAATAAAACCAAATTCCAGGTCTTTCAGACTCGAAAGCCAGTGAACTCTTGACCAGCATCCTTTTAATAAGAAAATACTAAAGAGGAAGGAGCTTCTAGAGATTTCTCTAAGCTGGGCGGTGGTGGCGCACGCCTTTAATCCCAGCACTTGGGAGGCAGAGGCAGGCGGATTTCTGAGTTCGAGGCCAGTCTGGTCTACAGAGTGAGTTCCAGGACAGCCAGGGCTATACAGAGAAACTCTGTCTCAAAAAACAAACAAACAAAAAAACCAAGAAACAAAACAAAAAAAAGAGATTTCTCTAGAGCTTGACAGCAAGCATTAATTCTCACTTTATGACCATTCCCATAGTCACAAATCAATCAAAATACCCCATTTTTAGCCCATTAATCCTCAACTATTAAAGTGGATAGCAATACCCCAGCTATATTGGTAAGCCAATCTTCTGCATGTTAGAGGTCAGGCGGAGACTCTGTATTTCTATCAAGTTCCCCGATGGTGCTGGGCTGTCGATGATGTCACTTCCCCTGGCAAAGCTCTTTGGTAGTTTCCTATTAAAGGCCCGAGGGCATCATAAGAGACCTTTTAGAGGTTGCTTAAATCAAGTCACCTTGTAAGCCTTCCACCTGGGCAACCCAGTGGCCTTCCACTTAGTGGCCTGACCAAGAGTGAAGGTGAGTCTGGTTTGCAGTCCTGTATAGAGAACTCTTTTTCTCTCCGGCTACTAGGACATTTGCCTTTCTTCCTTGCTCTTTTCTTTTCTCTTCTCTTCTCTTCTCTTCTCTTCTCTTCTCTTCTCTTCTCTTCTCTTCTCTTCTCTTCTCTTCTCTTCTCTTCTTTTCTTTTTCCTTTGAGCCAACTGCCTACTATGTTGCGCAGGCTAGAGCAATCCTTAGTGTATAGCACCACATCCAGATGACATCTGTCTTTCCTGTGTGTTCATCGGCTTTTCGTTGCTTCATCTGATCTGCCTGCCCTCCCCCATTTCTTTCCATTGATTTGGAAAGTACATAATCTCCCCTTTGCCTTCTCTTCCCTTCCCACCCACTGCCACCTGGGGAAAAGCATTGGATGCCTCTAGATTGGTGCTACCTTTCCACTCATTTGCTGCTTTCCCAGAGTAACCCCACTAGATCAGCAGTGGTACCTTTCAAGCCCTTTTAGTGTCCTGGGAAATAAATGATATTTTAGCTTGGAGAGATGAATTCATTTCAAACAGTAAGATTGGTATGTGGAAATGTGAGTTTGTAGTACTGATCTGCCCCATGGTAGCTGTGCAGGCTGTTATCTAATCTGAGCTTCATTTCCTTATACCTCAAGTAGGGGTAATCATAACGCCTGCCTCACACAGTTATTGACTAGTGGGTGAAGACAAGTGTGTGGAATTGCTTTAGCAAATTGAAGAACGCTATACAGTAGTCCCATTCCATCTGTGGGAGATTGTACCGAGACTTCCAGTGTTTACATTTGCCCCTATACATAATGTATAAATTAGAATTCAGTAGGAGTTTTGTAGTGATGCTACTAATAAAGCAATCATAAATGACAGCACAATGTAGTAAGTCATATAAAATGCAATCTTTTTCTCTTTTTAAAAATATCTTACTAGGCTGGAGAGATGCCTCAGTGGTTGAGGGCACTGACTGCTCCTCCAGAGGCTGGGTTCAAATCCTAGCACCCACAGGACAGCTCACAACTGTCTGCAACTCCAAGATCTGACCCCTCCACACAGACATGCATACAGGCAAAACACCAGTGCGCATGAAATGAAAATAAATAAAATTTAAAATTATCTTGCTGTCTCAAACTATATTTTTGAACTGCAGTTGATTATGGTCATTGAAAGCAGAAAGAAACCTTGGATAGTGGGGACTCCTGTATGTTCAGAAGGTCTTAGAGTCTGACATCTGAGATTTGGAGGAATCCTGTTCATCTGGGTTTCCCTGATAAGCTCCCTCCAGGTTCTTTTCTCACTGTTTCCAGACAAAACAGACCCATTCCCACCCATATGCTTGCTGCTGCTTTTCTTGTTTCCCGAGAATTCTAACATCTGTCAGTTCTATTCCTGTCTCATGGAGGCATAAACTTTGGGCTAAATCTTGAAGGAATAGAAATTCTCTTTCTCTCAAGAAAGCCATTAAATGGAGGTGCATGGCATAGCCTACAAAGCTAGTCAAGGACCAGTGAGGAAGGTGTCCATACGTATAAACTGAGAGTGGACCCTGTGGGGCGGGACCTCCTTCTTAGCTGGGAGAGTTTGTGTAGGAGGAAGCTGGTGAGGATGCTCAGGACACTGTGTCTGGCTGAGCTCCCAGAGAGAAAGGACTGTAAAACCACCCCCAACCCCCCACCCGCCTCTGTGCAAACCGGACTGATGGAACAGACCTAAACATTCAGCTGCTCTGGAGACTGAGGCAGAAGGATCACGATTTCAAGGCTAGTTTGGGCTACAGGGGGAGTTCAAGGCCATCCAGACAAGCTTACTGAGACCATATCTCAAAGTAAAAAGCAAAACTAAAAGAAAGTTGGCAAGCTGGAGCTATATAGCTCAGTGGTAGATGTTTGCCTAGCATGTTTACAGACCTGAGTTCAGACACTCAAAGAACCTTAACTGAGCTCCAATACCAGAGAAGCCTTTCTATTGAACTCTCAGGCCTCAGTTTTCTAACCCAGGCTTACTATGTTTTTTTCAGGAAGTCAGACATGACTAATCAATTTTACCTCATCAAGCACTTTGTAGCATTTCTTTTTTAACTTTAATTAACTAATTAATTAACTTTACATTCTGATCGCAGCTTCGCCTCCTTCTTCTCCTCCCAGGTCCCTTTCCCCCCCCCCTTCTCTCGATCCTCTCTTCTTTTCTTCTCAGAGAAGAGGAGGCCTCTCATGGACATTAACCCACCTTGGCATATCAAGTTGCAGTATGACTAGGCTCATCTTCTCCTATTGAGCCTAACTAGGCAAGGAAGTCCAGTCAGGGGAAAGGGGTCCAAAGGCAGGCAACAGAGAAGAGACAGCCTCTGCTCCAGGTGTTAGGGGTCCCATATGAAGACCAATCTGCACATCTGTTACATAAGCAAAACAAAACAAAAAACAAAACAAAACAAAAACACTCACTAGGCATGGTGGCACATGCCTTTAATCCCAGCATCGGGAAGGCAGAGGTGGTCAGATCTGAGTTCCAGGCTAGCCAGGGCTACATAGGAAAACCTTGTCTTAGAGAGAGGAGCGGGGAGAGGAAAAGAAGAGGAGAGGAGAGGAG